GAGATTAGTAGAGAGATTGCTGACTGCAATGCTACGGCGCGAGTTCACTTTTGGCCACTGTTTCGAGCGCCCCGTCGCGGCCAAGCGGTCGAACCAGGCACACATATTTTTTTTTTTATTTGAGAAGCGTGGAGGGGGTATACCGAGTGTGTGCCTACAGATTCGCGTGGAAATGGGCATGTAGGCACATACTTCGGAGACGCGTGGAAGGGGTATACTGAATATGTGCCTACGGAGAGAGGAGTGGTGTGCATGGAAATGCCGACTACAGCTATATAACTATATATACCCGCGTATATCATATAGCGAAAGAAAGCAACGAGTCTTTCTCGCTATATACTTATACTTACTAACTTCTTTAATAAGGTCTTAGAAATTAAGGGGAAATAGAGAAGAAAAAAAGATTTCACATCTAATATTTGTAAAATAAAAAAACCTATTTTAATTTACAATTCTCTATAACATATGAAAGTTTAAGAGAGGCTAGCCATATTATTTTTCGAAAATTAAATCATACAAATAAATGTTTACGCAATTGGAAGCTCAGACTTTCAAGGCATTTATTTTTTAGTTCTTCTTATACTTTGAATTTTCGTTTAGTACTGCGTATCACAGTACGTTGAAAAAATATTTAGCTTGAAATATTTTTTGAGGTTGATAGTATGGCTATAAGCACCTTAAATATAAATTATTATTTTTACTTATCATAATCGCTATGAACTGTAGGCCAAGCTCCGGAGGGTATCAATGAACATATGTGACTTTAGGTTCTATGAGGTCCGAAGTTTGAATAGCTGAGATGACTATGGCTTATGCCTTCGACGGCATATTTTGGCGATTTGGGGTTCAATTCTGATTGCCATTAGATTTTTTTTTTTTTTTTAATATAATTCAGTATTCTATTTCAATTTCTTATTGCAACTTTCATTTTAATTTATGAATATTGTCTCAACACTTTTTTTTTCGGGCACGTTAAAAAAATTTTATTTTTAATACTGTGTCACGTACATAGAATCCTACGCAACAACTGACTATTAAATAATTTATTACGTTAATAGTTATAGCCGGCAAGGCTAATTCATAATTTTAAAGGTAATAATTTGAATGATAGTAACATTGATAACTAACTAAATACTTGGTAGATCATAAAAAATCTTTTGTGCGTATTCGTATGCTTGCATGTGTGTGATCTCAGAATTTTTGACCGATGTCAATGATTCAGGACTCAGCAGGATTACTTTTTCATATTGTTACGATGGCTTGGGAAAAACAATCGTCATAGCTTTTTAAGGTTGTCATACCTCTTGACGATTTCTTGATTTTTTTAAACAGTTTGTTGTATTATTCAGGTGAAAAAAATATTCTTATACATATTTTAGTTTTACTTAGGGAAAATTCAAACAATTACATTTTTTTTAATCTCTCCATATATTATACAGTTTCATTTTGAACAATAAAACAATTTTTTTTCTTTCGATTGATGCATTCAAGATTAGTATTTCAATAAGATTGATAGAGCAATTCTATAACAATACTATGCTTTTCTCAACAAATTTAACTAGTCTAACGTTTTAATTTATATGTACTTTTAAACGCTTATTTGAATATTTTTTCGATTTTTTTTATTGCTGAGAAAGCAGTAATACGTTTCTCGGTAGCGATTTAAAGTGTTAGATAATTGTGTGAATTCTTCCCAAATTTTGCACTGAAAATTTGTTTATTGGTAACATTATACCCTCTAATAAAAGAAATTATGTGACACAATAAGCTTAGATTCTTTTTTTTAATATAGAAATTTGTATAAAAAAATTAAAATTTTCGATTAACAAGTCACTAGAAGCTATTGAGAAATACAGAGTAAAAGCGGAGTGTTTTCTCGCGTATAATCACATAAATAAAGCAATAATTTGTATTGATATAGTAGATCGTACATACTCCATATCATGTGGTAATACGCTTTTCTATTATTAATAAATGTTGTATTAATTATTCAACAACGTTGCCAGTAAGTGACCTATGTTACATAGAGATTGACCACAGTGTTATTGAGTAATGCTTAATTAATTTATGCATGTAAACATAAATACTTCTATTGCCAACTTGAAGTTGAAGAAAAAAAATTTACTCAAAGAAACCCTTTTTTTCCTCTTGATTAAAAAAAGCTCTTTTATGTCTTCTACTCTGACAAGACTATTTCTTGCGCTGACCCACCGATATTATTCAGCGATTCAAGAAATTGTAACACTTAAAAAAAAAAATTGAACCACATCCTAAATTATAAATAAAAAGCGAGCCTTACTTTAAATAAACAAATATGTAGTGCAAAATCTTCAAAAATCATTTGCTTGGTATCATAAAATTATGAATGAGCCTTGCTATCGTCAAATGTTTCAGTATTTTCTCTGCAGGTAGAAATTTATTCAACAATTTTAAATTACGTTGAGTAGCAAATTAAAAGTTTTAGTCATTTATTGCAATCTAAATTTTTTTTAATGAAACAATCGTATAAGATATTCAAGAACAAACCAAACTACATTTATTTGTTTTAGCTACAGTAAGTATTAAAATGTACATATATAAATTACAAGCTCAGATGTGTAAAACCTGTCAATGAAATCACAATATTTATCACATTAAAGTAAAATTATCCTATAAAAAAAACTCTTATGGAGTTCGCGAAAAT